CATGTCAATGGCCATAGTTATCCTGCCACTAAAAACAGTCTTTCCCACTCCACAAAACACCCAAAGCAAATGTATTATTACACCAGACTGTCCATGTGAATGTCTGTGTTGATAGAATAATTTCAGAAGTAAAACCAACCTTGCATTTGAAGGATTTATATCTGAGCAGCAGCAGCGATTTGTACTTCCTGATAGAAAGCTTGGCAGCGGCGGACTGATTCACGAGAAAATAGTTCCTCAATGTCCAACAATTCATGCGATGCAAGGTTAGTTTTATTTCAAACATTATTCATTATTGTCTTAAAACCTATTTTTATTCTCTGGCTTTTCACACTGCATAAGTTGTGTGGTCCTCTGTGTCTATTATTTATGTTATTTCTTTTACTATTTACTGCTTTTTTATGATTTTTATGTTTTTTGCTTTTATTTGCTTTTGGTTTTATTGTTTTAGGACTGGTGTAACCAAATTTTAGCAATTTACCTTTTTGTTGTCTTCGTTTTATGATCTCTGTGCAGCACTTTGAAAACTGCTTTGTTTGTCAAATGTGCTATCGACATAAAGCGGATTTGGATTTGGATAAGCGTAATACAGTACTGTGTAGGATTCTGGACAAAACAAAAACATATCCATAGAGACCAGAAAAGTTACACAGTGCACTTTTAAATAACGCAACAACATGGTCTCTCAATGAGCTTCATGTCTCCTGAAATGGTTTTCTTCCCAGTGTCAAGAAATCAAGTGATCAAAGCAAAGCGGCTGTTAAAAAAAAACAAACAAACAATAAAATTATTCTAAAATCTGAAACAAATTTTGAGTTATTTTGTTTGCTACATTCCATCTTCTTATTTTTGATACCTTCAGTAAGAATGTATAATATAAATAATCATGGAAATACACAGAACCATGAATAAAAAGTGTGTCCAAAGTGACTGGTGGTGCAGATGTTACAGCATTACAAAACATGCTGTTCTCTGTTCATCATGGCTCCAGGTGAGACACATTCTCCCACACTCAGGTCTACACTTCTTATGTAACACAGGAACGCCGCATTTTTGTGCCACTCTTACAAGACTCAGCTGTAAGAAAGTGAGCTATAGTCAGTGTTGGGGAGTAACAGATTACATGTACCGGCATTACGTAATCAGAGTACAAATTATGAGTAACTGTATTCAGTTACAGATACTGTTTCCATGAGTGGTAATTGGATTACAGTTACTTTGTTGAAATAAATGGATTACATGGCGGTATTTTCCTGTTTTCACATTTTGGGCTAAACCAGGACTAAAACCAGGACTAAACCAGGACTTAACAATATGACACTAACAGTAGGTGGTTATAATTTAGGGCAGCAGTGATCTCAAATAGAAAGCATTTTTCTATCAATAATATGTTTAATATGGTTAAGGAAAGACTGGGCTTTTAGTTTTCTTTTATCAGACAAAACATCTCGTGAAGATTTCCTAGTCTTTGCTTCTCTATAGTAAACAAAAGTCTGTTCATGGAGACTTGGGCTCAACAGACAATTTGAAGAGAACGCACATGAATTTTCAGGATGCGGTTGGTACATTCATGTAGTTATAAAAAGCATGACAATATCAAGTAATCCAAAGTATTCAGATTACGTTACTCACTTTAAGTAATTTAATGGATTACGTTACAAACTACATTTTGGGGTATGTAATCTGTAATCTGTAGGGGAAAACATTTTAAAAGTAACCCTCCCAACACTGGCTACAGTGGCCCCGAAGGTCATACACTGATACAAAAAGACAAGATAAAAAAGAAAACACAATAGGACACTAGTCACGATGGGAAAAAATCCAATGCAACAGATAAAAAAATAACACAAGATCACCTTTTTTGTCAGATTTTTTGTCATTTTGCCACCAATCTGCAAACTAATAGAGGCTAGGTTACAATGAACAGTTAAAGAGTGCACAAATCATGACAAATTGCCAGAGAACAAATGCTTTTCCTGATAATGCTTCAAAAATATTAAAATCTATCTGTTATTTTTCTTCTTTTAAATTGCCACCAGTCAGCAACCAGGTTACATAAGACAGCTAAAGAGCGCATAAATACCAATGCGTTTACAGGAATTGTGCTTAAAAATATGTTAAAGGTCCTATAGTACACAAAATTTACTCTTGTGCTGAAGAGTGTGGTAATATATATTTTTAGATGTGTTTTTTTGCTTGTCCCAGCATATGGTATTAAATGTATCTAGCTACATGCAGACCATAGATATAGAAGGGTACATCTCGCGGTCAGTGTCTTGGCATGTGTTAATACCACCGCCATCATGGTACATCTTGGACTGAATGTCTAAAGTATCACTGAACGTCATTTGACCAAAGCTTTTTAACAGTATCAAGACGTCAGACTTTTGTGCCACATATGGATTGAACTAGGACTGAACCAGGACTGAACCAGGTCTAAACAAGGACTGAATCAGATCTAAACCAAGTCTAAACCAGGACTAAACCAGATTGACCTGGGACTAAACCAGGACTAAACAAGGACTAACCAGGACTGAACCAAGACTAAACCAGGACTGAACCAGGTCTAAACAAGGACTGAATCAGATCTAAACCAAGTCTAAACCAGGACTAAACCAGGATTGAACCAGGACGGAACCAAGACTGAACTGTACCAAGTCTAAACCAGGATTGAACCAGGACTGAACCAGGTCTAAACCAGGCCTAAACAAGGACTGAACCAGGTCTAAACCAGGCCTAAACAAGGACTGAACCAGGACTAAACCAGGTCTAAACAAGGACTGAACCAGGACTAAACCAGGCCTAATCTTGGACTCGTTCAGTTCTGACCTGACGTCTAGCTCGGGACACAGTCCGTTCCTGGGCCGGGACCGCAGGCCTCTACCCCATTATGGTCTCTGTTTGCTCCTGCCTGCCCCTGTCTGCGGCATCAAGCACGTGTCTTTGTTTAAAAGTACTACAAATATACCAAGACTTCCCATTGTATATAGTATTTTAAAAGTACACATACCAGTTCTATATTTCTGAACGTCAAAGCTGTATATTATATAGACGGAGACACAGAATTTAGTTTTTTCATTATCTATAAGCCACAATCATAAAAATAATAAAAAAATAAACTGAAATCATGAGTCTATGTTACTTTGCAGTTTAGATCTAAAAAGTAGAGGAGTAGAAAGTATACATACACACTATTAAAAGAGCGTAACATGGTGATTCTGTCTGCTCCTCTCACACGGAGGTTGTGGGTTAGACTCCTGGTCTCTGTGAGTGAGCGTGTCTTCTGTTACTGTGTCAGAGTAGTCATATGCTGCCCTCTGGTGGCGGACACGGCATAGTAACAGTAACAGCTGCTGCTCTTTCGTGTGGTCATTGATTAAAAGAACGAGGTACGTAGTAATAATAGAGGAGCAGAAGGTGGCGCAGTGGAGCGTCGTTAGCGCAGTTTCCTCACAGCGAGCGCCCAAGGTCTCCTCCAAACACTGACTCTGACACAGACAACTCCAGTCATTAGGAGAGTAAAAGCTTACAGGAACTGCTTATGAAGTAAAAGTACACTGGCTAATCATATTGTAACAGATGCAGTCCTTTATTAAAATATTAAAGTTCCTGTTTAAAAATGCACTTTCAGTCCTGTTCATAATGTAGCAAAGTAGAAAGTACATGCTCTCATATATAGTGAAGTAAAAGTAAAAATTAAAAAAGTAAAGTACAGATTCCTAAAATGTATGCTCAAGTACTTTACTACTTTGACTTACTAGTTTGACTTTGTTGAGTTCCACCACTGCAGTTAACTATAGTCTTTGTACAACATATAGTAACTGCTGTAGAAGTACACAGGTTAGTCTTTTGTAACAGATGCAGTCCTTTATTACCAATGGTGGATGAAGTACTCAATTTTGTTCCTTAAGTAAAAGTACAGATACTGGAACCAAAAGAAATATTCAAGTAAAAGTAAAAATCACATGAAAAATACACTTAAGAAAAGTATTAAAGTTCCTGTTTAAAAATGTACTTTTTTCAGTCGTGTTCAAAATGTAGTGAAGTAGAAAGTACATGCTCTCAACTACAGTGAAGAAAAAGTAAAAAGCATCCACTGTAAAATCTACTTAAAGTAAAGTACAGATGCCTAAAATGTATGCTTAAGTGTAGTACTTTTCAACCTAAATATGCAGGGTTTGTCAGTGATTGATTGATAGCATTTATATAGCACCTTTCAAGATACCCAAAGCGCTTTACAGTTCATTATTCAGTCACTCCACACTCAGTGGTGGTAAACTACTACTGTAGCCACAGCTGCCCTGGGGCAGACTGACGGAAGCGAGGCTGCCAATCTGCGCCATCGGCCCCTCCGACCACCACCATCACTCACGCTCACACCACTTTCATACTAGGCAATGTGGGTGAAGTGTCTTGCCTAAGGACACAATGACAGTTTTTTGCCACTGGCACCCCACTGTGAAACATGTGAGAATCAAAACAAAACTCCAGGTATGTTTGTGATGAGGAAACAACATTATAACATGAGAAAACAGTGTAATATGGGATCTTTAAACTCAATACAAATATATATAATAGGACCTAATGATGGTTTGGAATTCTGATTAGCATGTCATGACTCAAATGTTTGAATTGTTGTCCGTGCAGTAGTGAACCATTATTATTTAAAATCTAACTTGACATGTTTCCTTTTATCTGGTGGTTTTATTAGACAATAAATTGAAAATATAGATGACAAAGAATAATACTGAAATTAATTTATGCCACTGACCCAAAAACCTTACTGCAGCATTATCCCCAAAAAACTATTCTAAATATACAAGTTACATAACACAAAACACAAACTACAATAGCAAAAGGCAGAATTAATCACTTTAGCAGTTTGTTTGTGTCTACATTGAGCCACTGAAGTGATTTATCCAACCCTCCACAGCTCAAATTTAACTGAAGTGCAGAAAAATACCAATAAGTTCCTCGCTGGTGCAAAAAAAAATGTATACAGGTGAATAGATTTTTTAATTTTTTTGCATGCTTCTATATGTTGAGAACTCCTGACAGAAAATGTGTTCTGGTCAGCCTGTAAGAGCTCTCTCTCTCTAAGCTTTTTCTCAAGTGAGATGCTGCTTCCTTGCTTCTTACTGACTGACCAGCTGAATGGTTTCTCCCCTGTGTGTCCTTATATGTTTTTTGAGATGGCCCGCTTGGACAAATGTTTTCTTACAGACTGAACAGCTGAATGGTTTCTCCCCTGTGTGCGTCCTCATATGTATTTCAAGAGTAGATTTCTGAGCAAACATTTTCTGACAGACTGAACAGCTGAATGGTTTCTCTCCTGTGTGTGTCCTCATATGTTTTTTCAGAGTAGAACCATCAGTAAACATTTTCTTACAGATTGAACAGCTGAATGGTTTCTCCCCTGTGTGTGTCCTCATATGTGATTTGAGAGTAGAACTATCAGCAAACCCCTTCTCACAGATTGAACAGCTGAATGGTTTCTCCCCTGTGTGTGTCCTCATATGTGTTTTCAGAGTAGAACATTCAGCAAACACTTTCTTACAGACTGAACAGCTGAATGGTTTCTCCCCTGTGTGTGTCCTTATATGTGTTTTTAGAGTAGAACTCTCAGCAAACACCTTCTTACAGACTGAACAGCTGTATGGTTTCTCCCCTGTATGTGTCCTCATATGTATTTTGAGACTACCTCTTCCTGCAAACACCCTCTTACACACTGAACAACTGAATGGTTTCTCCCCTGTGTGAGTCCTCATATGTGATTTGAGACTACCTCTTTCAGCAAACACCTTCTTACAGACTGAACAGCTGAATGGTTTCTCCCCTGTGTGTGTCCTCATGTGTATTTTGAGATAACTATCAGCAAACATTTTTTTACAGACTGCACAGCTGAATTGTGTGTGTGTCCTCATATGTGATTTGAGATTATAACTATTAGCAAATGCTTTCTTACAGACTGAACAGCTGAATGGCTTATCTCTTGTGTGTGTCTTCAAATGTATTTTAAGATTATAATTATCAACAAACACTTTATTACAGACTGAACAGCTGAATGGTGACTCCCCTGTGTGTGTCCACATATGTTTTTTGAGTTGACCCTTTCGAGCAAATGTTTTCTTACAAACTGAACAGCTAAATGGTTTCTCCCCTGTGTGTGTCCTCTTATGCGCTATGAGATTAGAACTAGCGGCAAACACTTTCTTACAGACTGAACAGCTGAATGGTTTCTCCCCTGTGTGTGTCCTCACATGTGTTTTGAGATGAGCTCTTTCAGCAAACACTTTGCTACAGACTGAACAGTTGAATGGTTTCTCCCCTGTGTGTCTCTTCATATGTGTACTGAGAGTAAATCTTTCAGCAAACACTTTCTTACATACTGAACAGCTGAATGGTTTCTCCCCTGTGTGTCTCTTCATATGTTTTTTTAGAGTAGAACTACAAGCAAACACCTTCTTACAAACTGAACAGCTGTATGGTTTCTCCCCTGTGTGTGTCCTCATGTGTTTTTTGAGAATAGAACTACTAGCAAATACTTTCTTACAGACTGAGCAGCTGAATGGTTCCTGTCCTGTGTGAACTCTCCTGTGTATTTGTAGTTTATATTTAGATGCAAATCTCTCTTTACAAACAGAGCACTTGTGTTTCCTGCTCTCAGCTCCTTCTCCAGTTCCTGACACGTCTCCACTGTTCACCGTGGCTCTGGTCTCTGGTGCACACTTGTATTTAGGGGACATATGTGAGTTTTGTGCAGTGGTGCTTCTGGCTCTGATCTGAACTTGGTTGTGGTGGTCTCCATTAGCCCCTACATCCATGAGTGCAGGTGAACAGCTGAGTGGAGCTCTCCATTCTTCATCACTGTCAGTGTCAGAAGAGTGCTCTGTGTCTCCCTCAGTCTCTGAATGGATGTGTGTCTCTGCTCTGATGTCCTCTCCCAGTGTGTCCTCTGTGTGGACATGTGTCTCTGCTTTGATGTCCTCTCCCAGTATGTCCTCTCTGTGGACGTGTGTCTCTGCCTTGATGTCCTCTCCCAGGGTGTCCTCTCTCTGCTCAGTTTGTCTTTTCGGTGAGAACTCTTCTGTCTTGATGCTCACAGCACTAAACTCTGGGACAGACCTGAAAAATATTAGATACATTTGTATATTTCAAACACAATCTGAATATTTGTAATAGAAATTAATAAGAATGAATGAATAGCAAAATAAAGAATTGCAGTTTAAAAGTGAATGAGACTCACACTTGCAGCTGATCTTCCTCCTGTTTGATGTTGTGTTCTTCTTTAATGTTGTGTTCTTCTTTTATGTTGTGTTCTTCTTTAATGTTGTGTTCTTCTTTAATGTGTGGAGTCAGATCAAGGCTCAGAGAGGGGAGATGGACAGCTGCAGGAGACGAGAGAATACACACTTACACATAAATGTGCAGTCTTGTGGCATGAACACTCTGTTCATTCACCATCCTACAGACAGACACTACAGACAAGTTCACAATGTTGGAAGTAACTGAATACATGTACCTGAAAATACATATTCAGAATACTAATTTTGAGAAATTGTATTCTGGTTGTTGTTTTTAATTTGATGGTATTTAGAATAGAATTACTTGCTAGTGCTTGCAGGTCTTACAGGTGTGTGTGTGTTTTTCCTCGTCTCTAACTGTACATAAATTAATGCATAAAAACAGTGCAACAAAAAAAATATATTATGTCATGTTTTTACACTATAAGTATTCAGAATACAGTACTCTGATTGGACCATGTATAAGAATACATCACAAAATATTTGCGTGACCAGCCAGTCCATTCTAGAGGTTTATGTTGGACAGGAGATATAGGTGAAAATGGGTTGCTCATCAAAAACATGCATTTAGGGACCAATTTCGAGCCGGAAAAATTGACCTTAATGTAGTGCAATTTTGAAAATCTCTAAAATTTCACTAAATATGAGGCTGTTGCTGCTAGAAAACGTGCATTAAAAGAAAAAAGTTTTATTTTCTCCTGTGTGACCTTTCCTGAAAATCCATGGGAGAAATCAACATAGGAAAAACTTTTTTGTTTAAAATGACATCATACCAAAAAAAAAAAAAAAAAAAAAAAGCAACACACTGAATCTTCCCACTGATTGTTATGGGTGAGCCAGTCACAAGGAGCTAGATAGATAATACGTGATTGATCTCCAAAGGGAAATGCAGGTATTGAGCGCCATTATCTCAAGGACAACTTTAAGAAAAACAGTACAGCATAATATGGGGAGAGGAAGAGGAGGCAAAAAAAAAGAAGCAAACCCCCCAACAGTACTCCTATGTGAAGCACTGTGTGGGACCAGGACAAAAACAAAACACCTCCGCAAAATAAGCACATGATCAAACACAATACAACAGAAAGGGGAGGGAGGTGGAGTTACAGGCAATACAAAAACACAAGACAAGAGCAAGGGCGTGGGATACAGGGTGGGCCTGGAGGCTCACTCCACCTGGCTCCAGTCCTAGCTGCCATGGAGACGGCCTTGATCAGGTCCCAGTCAGAGTCAACATCAGCAGGTGTCAGTTCACGTTGGGGGAAAAGAATGTGAGAGGATCTCCCTGCTGTAATCTCCAGGGGAGTTGATTCCAGCCGACCTTGGCGGAGACCGAGCTGGCTGAGGGAGGCCAATAGATAAGATTGGGGTTGTTTGAGTTTGGGGTGAGTAGCAGAATTTCAATTTCCACAGCTACTCTCATTTTGTCCATATTGGTCTCAAGGTCTTTCTGTATACTGCACTTCCGGTTTCTCCAAAAAGGTATCCATACTGTGGTTTAGAGTTAAACAGTTTCTGTTTGTTAGCTGGATCTATTGAACTGCACTAAGTGGGGACTATGACTGAGTCATATTAGCAGAATCATTCAGAAGCAGCTTGCATGAGCTGTGAAACATTTTCAATCCAAAAAACTATTGGTAGTTTTCAGATTCTAGAATGTGATGCTGTCATACAAGAGACAGATTTCCTTATTGATTACATTGTACTTTGCCATGAAATATCCAAAATGTAAACTCACAAATCGGGTAGATTCAATTAGTGACTAAACCCTAGAACTCATTGTATTACAATATAATTCTGCATTTTAATAATATAATATAATCTTCATTTTAGCTGTCCCGGATCTGTATTTATTAATTAATATTGTCCTATAGAGTCCTGTGCTGGCATGGTGCATGTGAATGAGGAGTGTGCACGTGAGAGGAGGAGAGGAGTGGGATCCACAATACTTACCGTCTCTGACGGGCACGACTCTCGACTCCAAGATCAGCTGGAGCCTCTGGTTCTCGTGTCTGCAGCGGTGCAGCTCCTCTTCATAGTCCGCTGTCGTGCTCTCCTCTGCAGCCGCACTCAGCCGCTCCACCACAGAAACTCTCAACATTTGCCCGTTTAACATCTCCAGTTGTTTTAGCCAGTGCACCACAGCTCTGCTCTACCCATACACTGTGTATATGAATAATAACAAGATCGCCGAGTTCAAAATAGGAAGTTCGCATGCGGGCACTTCCGGTGTTCTGTCTTATGGCCCTGTGCATGGAAACAAGCAAGTAGATCTACCAGGCCAAGTTACAGGTCAGATTTGTGGAGGCAATCCTCTCTCAGTCAGAATACATGTTTTTCAATGTATTTTTGTGCAATAAAAATGCACAACTAAATAAATGCAACTAAATAAATACAATAACGAATTAAATACAATAAATGCAACACCCAAGTAGACAGGAACGAAACCGATCCTGCACCCATATACCGTATATGACCATATAACTGCACCAGACAAGCTATATAGTTCAGCTTTAATGCCTTGTGCACGCTAAAAAACAACAACAACAACAACAACAAAACAAAAAACTGCATAGTAACAATTAATGTACAGTTTTTGTTTGAAAACTTTGTGTTTGTTGAAGTCTGCATTATGTACTCAATTTAACGCTTGAGTGCGATTGTACTTTCTTGCAACACATGTACAGATGTTTTTTTCAAATTTACTTCCTTTCTGAATGTAATCGTTAACTGGTGGCGCCCTCTAGTGGATGTATTCTGTAATTACAGTGTATATAATAACGAGGGTATCACAGTAGAACAGGCTACATTGCGCCTTTGTAAGTAGATAACAGTTTAACATTAATAATCATACCTTGGACAGCTCTTCAGTTTGTGGTTTAATTTTGAGTCCACTTTATCCACTTTTTGGGCTTTATATAATTTCTTGTTTAGACCGGGAATAGTCCTGTTGTAGACCTGGTTTAGATCTGGTGGTACTTAGAAAGCAATATCTTTTTTTTTTTTTTTTTGGTAGTACGTAGTGGAAAAGTTCGAGACTCTGATCCAGTACATGTCAGAACTACTATAATATAAATATAAACATAAACTGCCATTGTTTGAAAACTACAGTACTAAAGGTGCATTGTGTAACTTTTCTGGTGGTGAGTCCATCAAATGCTTTTCTCTGTGGAGATGTTAACGCTTCGTCTAGAATGTTTCACAGTATGGTATTAAACCTTTCTATCTTCATGGAGACCAAATCAGACCAAGTTACAGGTTAGATCTGTGGAAATGCAACCCCGCTCACAGTCAGAATGTTTTTTAGGTATTTTTGAGCAATAAAGCCTGTATTTGAACAAATGTAAGGTAGAGCTGTTAAATGTCATACGTTAGAACTTTCCAGACAGAGCAATAACATCTCCATAGGAACAAGCGATGGAAAAAAGTGAAAAAGTTACATAGTGCAGCTTTAATGCATGTTCAAGTTATCATTGTAGGATCAAAATCTGTATCAAGTATCAGAGTCAAACTAGACGAGGTAAAAACAAGTCAATAAAGACCATTTTTCTTAAACAAAATGTTTTATTGAGAATGTTCTGAAATGCATTTTACATATTCAAAAAGACTTTTATTTTACATTTAAGACAAAGGTATTATGTATGGCCTATGTACAGAAGTTACCTGAATGTCACCAAAGCAAAGCAATGAGAAAGAAATGATATGTGAATAATATAATACTGTTTGTGTTTAGAACAGCCATTTCAAACCTTAAAAACTGCTGAATTGGAGGACTACTTTTCAATAAATCGGGCCTATAATCATTTCCTCAAGACCCTATTTTATACGAACAGGGTAATAAAAATGCATTTATTATGTTTTTTGATTTGCATTTCAAAGTTTGATCTAAAAACAAACAAACAAAGCTTCACATGGTCTGTTTTTCATGGCATAAAGATGGGCACAGCATCTGTATCAAGTCTCAAAACAACTTTTAATACAGAAACATATTTTTAAACAATTTTCCAAAAAAGAAAACTGAAATATTTTTGAAAGTTTTTGTGCAACCCCAAAAGGTCCACAAAAGTCCACGTATAATTCCCACAACCTGAAAATATTTACTTTGAGCAAATTCCAGTCCAGGTGTTGACAAAAGTGGAAAAATAATCCTATAGGACGTGGGTTGTGGTAGAAGTTGTGAATTAGAAAAACAGCGCCGACATGGTTCCCATTTCGCTCTGCTCTTTGACAAAGATCTCAAAGTACTGGTAAATGATGGTTACAGCCAGGAGGATACCAGTCCCTGATCCGATAGCACCCAGGAAGTCAGCCATGACAGAAAGACCTCCAATACACAGGCCTCCAAACGCAGCAGCAGTGGGGATGTACCTGTGGAGAGAAAGAAACAGGAGTTATTAATAGACCTGTAGCATATCATAACATGACTGTAATGTCATGATTCAGTATTCAAGCCATAATAAATATATTTTATTTATGTGTCATATGCAAATGCTATAAATCTGTGACCGTGTGTTAGCTGCAGCAGTGAGGAATTTGGGCAGAACAGAACTTTTTTCTCATATTACACAATATCTTTGTAAAGCTCATCTGAAAGTCATGTTATGCAAATGCATTTTTAGAATTTTATATTCATTGAAATTTTCTGGGTTGGAATAAATGAAAGTGTGATCTTCCTTTAAAATTTATTTATTTTATTGGCTGGCTACTAGACTCAAAGTGAAAGTGTATTATTCAAGCCTTTAATTTTGGCATTTCCTAAAGAGTTTTATGACATCAGTACATAGACCTACATAAGTATTGTAAACAAGGTATCGTGCACTGAAAATAGAATGAAACAGTATATACACATTTCCCTTTAAATAGAATTGTGTACATTATTTGGTGACAAACTCACCTGTTGAGCTCATGGACCATGGAGGTTTCTCTGTGGCCTCTCATCACCATCTGCTGCTCCTTCAGCTGCTTGGCCACCTGAAAAATATTAATTAAAATAATTAAATATTACCTACAAAATAAAATTCTAAATGTCTAGTTTAGATTCCTAAGTCCTTACATCTTTGGCGGAGGAACCAGAGACTTCGATCCATGTTTTGGAGAAGAAGGCACAGGAGCCAAGCATGAAGACGATGTAGATCACAGCGTGGACCGGATCCTCCAAAACTGACCCAAAGGACTCAGGAGGAGAGAGGTAGTAACAGAGACCTCCCACAGGATAGGCCCGGGCTGGACCTCCAGAGGTAGCATCCTACAGGAAGACAGGCAATAGTTAAAAATAATGATATAAATGTGTTTTTAGAAGAAGTACATATGATTGCATAATCTGTACTCTGGCAGAAACATTTATTTAATCGGGAAAAGTCTGTACAAAGTCCCATTTATAATTGTTTATGGATTGCATTGCATTAAATGGAAATGACATGAGCGATAAGTAGTGCTCAAATGTATGTACCAACAAAGCTACTGCTGCCCTTTTGATTCCACTCAAGTAACTAACTGGTGAGGGCTTTCCCCTCCACAACTGAAGCCTTTACTCCCCAGGGTTGGACCACTTCTACAAAATAAACTAATTCAAATGCCTGCCTGAGGTTATTCTTGTTTCTTTCTTAATATATGATTGTTTCTTTGGATATCTCTGGATATAAGGCAAACAAAAGGAAAAATCTGTTAAAGATGTGAGCCTACAGAATGCAAAAAATATGCATTTTTACTTGATTTTAAATGTGGAAAAAAAGTCCTTATATAAATCCACGAAGCAGCCCTACCACTTGAATAGCGAGGTGTGTGTAATATGATGTATGTTATTTATGCATATTCAATAAAAGTGCAGATAAAAACCCATCGTCTGATACTCACAGACCAGGTGCCGAGCAGGTTGACCAAGAAGTTCCCGCTGAACCTTGTGGAGAGCATTTGGGAGATGACGTAGAGGTTGGAGACGAGGGCGGACTGCAGGATGATGGGGATGTTGGAGGTGTAGAAGAGTTTGATGGGATAAGTGTTGTACTGTCCTCTGTAACGCGCAGACTTAATGGGCAGGTCCACTCTGAAGCCCTGAGAAGAGAGAGAAACACAACAGATAAGGGCTGGGAACGATTTGGGGAAAAGTATCAAATTCCAATTTTTCTGACAACCATCACAATTAGATTTGATTTATGTCTTAAAAATAGGATTCTGTTCAAAGTTCACATTTGAAAACACACCCAGGAGAATTGAGACTTGAAATAGGCCTATGAAATGAAAAACTAAAAACAACAATCAAATTTCAGAAGATATTTGTACAGATCCAAACTACAGAGTTAGCAGTGTTTATGCAGAATGTTTTGTTATTTGTGAAGGAAATTATGCTACTTTTAAAACTGTAGTTGATTGCGACCATTCAGATTGCTATTACGATTAACGATTCTTGTAGCTATACATCAGAATTAATAATGGTATTGCACAACTAAATGTGAGTCACAATTAGGCGTGTATATTTTGTTGACACCCATGTAACTGGTTCTCAAATGTATGATCAATCATAATAGAGAGGAATGTATCTTTAACCTGACTCCCCTTTAGTTATGCTACTTTAAATATTAGATCTAGTCAGAATATGGAAATGCATCACCTTGTTTCCTCTATAATTATTTTGATTAAATGTTTAATTTGTTATGTGCTGTTTGATCTTCTCTCAGGGTATTTCTTTATTGTTGCTATTGGATGATGCTGGTACAAAACATTCTAGAGTATTTTTTTTTTTTATAAGAACATTTGATCATATAGAGACGTTTATGTTGAATGAGACATACAACTTAGATTGGTAACAATAAAGAACCTTCTTTTTCCTCAAATATCGCATATGAAAACTGGTGGGCAATACAGTGAATACTTCAAACGTGTCATGAAAGCTTTACTCAAGCTGTTGTTAGGTTTATAAAATGGTAGAGCTAGTTTAAACGTGCTGTAAAAAGCACTACTTCTTCTGGGGGTTTTTTTGGCCAATTTACGAGGGAGCCTGAGGGCCAAGAAAAAATGGTGAGAGACAAACATTGGGTCCTCGGGGCATAGTTGAACATGTCCGGTTTAAAGTAATATTTATAACACAATGAATTCCAGGCACTCCAAAAAAGTAGAAAAAGTAAAAAAAAATTTGAAAAGTAAAAAAATCGCACGAGGAAAACTGTGGTTAAAAGGCCTTTATTTGAATGGCCAAAGCCAACATGTTTCCACCTTAAATGGTCTTCATCAGAGCTTAATGAAGACCAGTTAAGGTCGAAACATGTTGGCTTTGGCCATTCAAATAAAGGCCTTTTAACCACATTTTTCCTTGTGATCTTTAACTTTTTCTACTTTTTTGGAGTGCCTGGAATCTGTTGTGTTTTAGTTTTGAGCCTTTTTTCTAAGAGCACCCTCTACCTGCTCCTACTGATTGGAACACCTGCAGCAAACAGCCACATTTTTGTTCTTTCTAATATTTATTTATGTTGTAGCCTATTCACAATACATAATACAGTGTTTCCTATAAATGCCTAGATTTAATCCTTATGCTTCCCTTTTGCCCAGTATAGTTACTTTTACATGTTTAAGATAAGACAATGGGCAAAAAAGTATTTGGTTTTGCCAGTGTATTAGTCCAGGTTGTTTTAAACTAAGAGAGGGTATTTAAGTTAGACTGTGAGGGTCGGCTGTAGTGTTTCCCATAGAGGAAGCAAAGTATTTAAGAGTTACTGACCTGGAAGTATATGACGACGGCGAACACAAAGATGGTAGCGATGAGGTTCATGAGGTTGGGTAGGTTTTGTCTGTAGAAGGCTTCTCTCAGAGCACGCACTTTGTCTGTGCGAGTGGCCAGCAGGTGGAACAGTGCGATGATGGCTCCCTCAAACTCAGTGCCTACAAACACAATAAAACATGTTTTAGGTTTAGATGAATGATACTCTAAGCTTCACATGCATAAATGGGTACAAATAAATGAGTACAGATGATGAGGAGACAGAAGTGGGTATTAAGCAAAGGAGAATGTAGAGCCATGTATTATAATTAGGGCTGAATGATTTGGAAAAAATATCTAATTGCAGTTTTTCTTAAAAGCATTGCTATTGTGATTAGATTTACAGTTTATAAAGTTTAAACTTTAATCATGTCCAGGAGCATTGCCAAAAATACTGAAATATGAACTGACAAACTAATACTATAATCAAATACAATTCAGAACATGTTTGTACAAATCTAAACAACAGGGTTAGGGGTTATTTATGCGAAATAACACAGGATATTTTGTTTTGTGGAGGAAATTATGGTACTTATGGTAAAATTGCAGCCTTTGGGATTTGATAATTATGTGGTGGGGTAAAAGTACATGAGTGGGACTCGGAATGTGATTCAATGGCATATTGTTGAATATTTCAGGTAAAGCTAGCATCTCCATGGAGACAAGCAGGTGGCATACCCTCACAAGAAATGTTATGAAATACATATTTAATACTGATACTCAAAACAGTATTATTAGTATTAGTACTCATAGATATTGAACTTAATACTGAATCAGTCACTTTGGAAGTATATGAAGTTGTATGTGATTACCTCGGCCGGTGTTGACGGTGGTGGGGCTGAAGGCCTTCCACACAATAGTTTCACAGATGTTTGTGGCAATGAAGAGAGAGATTCCTGAACCCAGTCCGTATCCTTTCTGCAGCAGCTCGTCCAACAGCAAAACGATAAGACCGGCTACGAACAGCTGAGGAGAGGAAATGGACCACTTAATGTGGACTGAAGACTTTGAACCAATGTGCAAGAATATTACAAGTTTCAGTATTTAACACAATACAAGTAAGCAGAGCATTCTTTGTACCACTACTTTTTTCTTTTACGGTACTTGATGAATGATGATGAGAGAGATGTTCCACAATACGGCATTAAACATATCGTTCTTGTGTGTATTCAATGTCATGTATATACAGTTTGAAACACCTTGGAAAAATTTGAGATAGTTTAATGCCATATTGTACATCTCCATGGAAACAAACAAGTGACGGATCCTGCACCAGAAAATGTATATATTGCACTTAAATCGAGATTACAAATAAACTTAAAATAGATAGTAACAGTATAATACAGAACTTAACATTTAAAGAGAGGACATCTATAGGTAGTTAAAGTATTTTAATATAGTTTAGTATGTTAAGGAAATATAGGTTAAATAATTAATACAAGATAATTTAGAAAATCTCAAAAAGTAGCTGACGTCAAAATGGGAATGAATAGATGTTGTGTTTGTTTACACGTGATAATGTAAGCGGATTGTTGGCTTTGCTTTGTATACCAGCTCCCTGTTCTCACCTGGATGATGATGAGCAGACAGACCCCAGCCCCCATCTCAGAGGGGTCTCCGTACATCCCAGTCATCACATACACGATGGCCTGACCGATGGTGATGATCATCCCAAACACTAAAAGATAGTAAAATATAACTATTGGTGGTTTTCTTAAAGAAACTGGCACTTGATCATTTCTATTAGTGACTGCACTGCACTGATCTGGATTTTGACATCTATTGTGATAAGATACTTTTCCTTCTTTAAAATCATTGTTTGCATAACTTATTACTAACAGCTAAACTAACAAAGGGAATATCCAAATAATGCCACTGTTTTTTGTTGAAACTGTAATTCAAAGTGCAATGTCTAATTTTAGTCTTGCTTAGATTTCAGTAGTTTTTGAACAAAGTTTGATTATTATAGTAACATTTTAGTTATTAAAATAAATATGCTAGAAGAGATATGTTGATCAGTGTTTAGAAAAGAAAGTAGTGGCATCAATTGAAGTAACACATGTTCACACATGCCTACAAGACCCTGTGGGCATGCTTTTAATGTCTCTGTGAACAAAGTGGCAACTGTTCAGATCTAATAAAATAAAGTGTCAGGCTTTACATTGAGTTAAATTTAACTTACATTTCTGTGCGCCATTGAAAAGTGCCCTGTCTTTTGGTGTGTCTCCAACTTCAATGATTTTAGCTCCAGCGAGTAACTGCATGATAAGACCAGAGGTGACAATAGGAGAGATACCCAGCTCCATAAGAGTACCTGGAAAACACAAAATATTAAATTAGGATATTTTAAAACAATAAACAAAAACTGTACTTGTAATAATGCATCTTTGAATTGAGAATAGTTGATTACTTACCTCTGTTTGAAGCCAGAATTACTCTCATCCAGTAGAAGGGATCTGCAGAGTCTGATGACATAATTCCAAAAAGAGGAATCTAGGAAGGAACCCATTATCAATTAGTCATTTTGTATATCTTATTGTGCCATATAATTACTTTAAAATTCATATATTTATAGGAATACATTTAAGAACTTACCTGGCAACAGACCAGGAAAATGAATAGCGTGATAGCAGTCCATAATACCTTTTCTCTAAATTGGATCTGTTAATGAAGAGAATTATAAGTTGTAGAATGTTTAGAGTGTTTACCCATTAAACGATAACTTGTGTGATAATCAAAAACACAAACCTTTCGTTCTGGTTTCTGGATTTCCGGCAATACTGCACAGAACGGCTTTATCACCTCTAAGAACTTTACTGCAAATACAAAAGCAATATATTAGGAAAATCAGTTCACTTCTTCAATTGTACAGTACGTGGCAGAAACAAGGGGGCGGAGTGAAACTTTGCTCATTTGATTTAGTTGAATACTTTGAATAAACCCAAATTTCAACAGTATTAAACTTAAACCTTTACTAAAGCATCGTGATAAGTAAAATGGTTGGGTTTTCGGTTGATAAAATACGATGAGGGAGCAACAAGGTCAACTTTACGCACGGATCCTTATGCGTCGTCATCACTCCGCTGTCACTACGTTTGAATGGGATGCTAAATGGAAGATGCACTGAACCAAAAATAACCCAAAATATACACGGATACGATACTATACGCTACCTAATAAATTCTTGCATTAAAATATCTTCTCTGGGCATCTATCCAATTAATTAAATACATCGATGTATTTAAAATGAGCTCCAAAGCATGAGGAACGACTGTGTAGCATTGAAGCTAACACGCTACCCAAGTTAGTAACTTGAAGGAAATCTTGCATGAAAAGCCAGTTTTTCAGCCTGTAAGTCACAGTAATGTTTATTAGGTTGTACTTACTACCCATGATGTCCTATGGTCCTCCTATGTCCCTCCGATCGCTGAATAGGGCACCGCTGGAGAGTATTCAGGCTTTTAGTGGGAGAGACGCCGGGGAAAAGAGGAGGAGATAGCGGAGAGACACGTCACCATACGAACAGACGAGGGCGCGTTTAAAGGACCGGCTAAAACCATGAGCTGTACCATGAGCTGTACAAAACCAAACCTCTTATTTGCTACACGTAGAGAGAAGTTTTGTTCCAGTCTATTGGTCAGTTATATTTAGTTTAATATGTGCCAAAACTGCAGTAGCCTATCCAGTTTGAGTTTGTGCGGCATTCACAAAACAGCAGCCTTCGTTAAAAAACAAAAAAACAAAAACGTAACTTTAGCGTAAAATTTTAGCGTTAAGTTAAAATAAATAGGCGTTGGGAAATTATTATAATATATGGTGAAAAGTGAACAAATTTGGGCCCCTAAAAGTGGTCTCCAAAAGGCCAAACAAGATTGTGTCAGTTAGAATGCAGATTGTAATGTATTTTATAATCATTACTGTTCTATAACATCATCTTCATTAATCAGATGACAATTCAATTTTTCCTTCGAAGATACTATAGCTTCTCTCAGGTAAGAGCTGGATGTTAGGGGTCGCCAACGTGTCCATTAGGAGAAAATAGGTTGGGAAGGTATATCTAATTATTTAGGCTACTACGAAAAAACAGGTTATTGTAGTGGAAATATAAAAAACATAAATAATAATAATACACTAATAAGAAGTCATATGTTATGGGACAATACAGAATCATACATTTGAGAAAGTTGCAGTGGGTACTTGCAATCTTCACAGTAAGCAGCATAGGGCAGTAGTGCGCCATGGAGCTGTGCGCGCCGCAGACAGCCAGCGTAGAAGGAGATTATGTCACTCATGGATGTAGCGGTTCCGACTCCTGCTTCTTCAACAAGTATCAAACTTCACAGCTGATACCGGGGTTTTTTTCTCTTTAGGATGACCTTATCTGGACCGCGTTGTTAAACCTAAACGCGTGCATTGTTTATTAAAGGAGTTGAAAACAATATAAACTGAGAAAATGCCGACGATCAGAGAAGAAGGTACCCACGCTGTGCTAACCGGCTAGCCTCACAATCTTGTGTTTTGAATGAAAAAACTACATACATTAACTTGAATGCTGAACTGTATTTATGACCCGCTCTGGCAGTGTAAAAATAGCTTGATTTATTAAATGATTTCAATGTAATTTTGTATAAAAGCATCTATCAAGAGATAAGCTAACAGTGTCTCCCATTAACCTTGAGCAGCTACAGGCTAAATGTCTGATATCTACTCAGTGCTCACGACTATAAAGATGCTAACTTTCATGTCCTTTTAAAACACTGTCCTCCTGCTAAGATGACCATGTCCAAATTTCAAGCGTTATTGACTTTGAGGTCAACGGAGACTAAAACAATAACACATTTTTTGTTGTGCTACAGGAAAAGACACGATCATATTTGTCACCAAAGAAGACCACGAAGCTCCAAGTAATGCTGAACTCGTGGAAGAAGATCCAAATGATCCTTATGAAGAAAGAGGTGAGCTTTTTTTTTTGTACTACTAATGCCTGAGCCTCTTGAACTTTGAACAAAACAACCTATGTTGCCAAAACCAATGTCCACTACTGGATTTTGAGCCTAGAATGAACCAGTGCAAGCTACACTTCCCTGAGTCTGCTAGAGAGTCTGCTAATCTGCACCATTAGCCCTTCTGACCTCCACCAAAACTTACACACATAACACATTCAAGGCAAGGTGGGTGAAGTGTCTTGTCTATGGATACTTCAAACTGAAATTGGCTGAAACTGGGGATATAGTGTGTAATGTGTGTAATGTGTAAATAATGACTAGTGTGTAGCATTTTGGCTATTCAGTAACAATGTTAAATATTTGGGCTTACCTGTACAACCTGTATTTGTTTAAGTTCTGCACTATCCAGCCACAAACTTAGTTTTCTTGATTATTTTAATAGTGAAGTAATGATTGTTGCGACTTTTAGATGTATAACAATGTATAACAAATCTCTCCTCTTTTCTCAGGCCTGATTCTTCCCAGTGGAGAGATCAACTGGAACTGTCCGTGTCTGGGGGGCATGGCCAGTGGTCCATGTGGCACTGAGTTTAAAGAGGCCTTCTCGTGTTTTCACTACAGTAAAGAGGAGGTGAAGGGGTCCGAGTGTCTGGACCAATTTAGAGCCATGCAGGAGTGTATGCAGCGCTACCCGGAGCTTTACCCCCAAGAGGATGAGAAAGAAAAGCAAGAACAAGCAACTGAGAGTGGGACAAACACCACTTCTGAGGGACAAAAGGACAATGATACAACAGAATCTGAAGTTAAGAGCTAACACTGAAGATGACTGGAACAGGGATTATAGTAGAATCATATTTGGATTACAGTAGTATATGAAACTATAAGTGTGACTTGGGCTGCAACAGTTAATCGGAATAATTGTGACTAGATAAACAGTTATATAAAAAGTGTGCAAACTGATCAAAATCTGGACTATACAGACTCTTAAACACATCACAAATACAATGCTAGTATTAAAGGTGAACTGTAACTTTCCTGATGCAGTAGTAATTGTTTACTTAATTAAGTTCACTAATTGGAAAAAATACTTGCTGACTATTTGACTACTAAAATAATTGTTATTTGCAGCCTTAAGTGTGCCTGTCTGTTTGAAGAGTTTGTTATATTGTGAAACTTTGTTATTGTGCTCTTTTGTTAAATGCAGCTCTATGGTCAAACTTTGTTACGTCCCATCTACTTTTACCCCACCCATTTTTCCTATTGGTCAGCCTCAGAGTGACAGGTGGCTTTAACCAATCGCAGTGAATTGTGAATTGCTTAGTTACTCTGAATAGTACATGCCAATATTGTAGCAATGTTATTCTGGTGGCTTCTATGAAACAATATGTGTAAAAATTTTATTTCGCTCATTTGACTCATTCAACAAATTCTAACAGAAATGTTTTAAAAGAAATTGTGTTTAAAAAAAACTAAAAATTCAAATGAATATCCAATCATTTCATTAATTTTGTTACCTTGTTTTGTTCATTATAAGTTGTCTGACTGTTCCAAACCTAGTTCATTTTTGATTCTTATCAAACGAGATTTTTTTCAGTTTTTGATCTAACATATTGGAAGAGTTTGCAAGTTTAAGGACTGAGCATAAACACATTGTACTGTATTCACAACGTCTGTAAAAACTGCATCATTTCTAAACCAGATGTGAAACATTTACTTGAACACAACTGAAGAAACTTATGTGTGAGACTTTTATAATTAAAAGATCTATACCACTATTTTAGGTTTGCCTTGCTTTAACATTATATTTCTGTGCAGTTTATTTTTAAAACTGCATACTAAGGCTGTTTTGTACTTTTTCTGCCCTTAAGAATTACTGTCGCCACTTGATACTGTATGCAAGAGGTCTATTCCATGTTAGATTTTCAACCTCAGAAAATGTTTAATCCCATGGCTTCATTCTGCTTTGTAAAACTGGCCACAGAAAATAATAAAACCAAATAAAAGGAAGAAGTCATATTTGTGTCACTATTACATTTTGTTATTGGAGTGTATGTAACATTTGGTGAGGGAGTCACCACGATGCCACTTGATTGTCAGGTGTTATTGAATTGTCTTGAATATGGCTATAAACATCTATCTATCTTGCATTTATTCAATTACAGTTGTTTTTTTATTGTTAAAAAAGTTCATCCATCCATCTTCTTTCGAAGTCTGAGCAGGGACTTCCAGACTTCCCACACCCCGGCCACTTCCTCCAGAAATGCTGTGGAATATTCCAAGCAAAGTTATAACATCCCCACGGAGACGGATAACGGACTCTTCACTTGAAAAGATACATAGTGCATCTTGTTCTTTTCTCAAATGCTAGAAAAAAAAACATTCAAACCCAATGACTGAATGATAATTAATTACAGTTTTTCTTCTTATGAACAATACGACATTATAAACAACATCGTGCTTGTGTCTATAGGTGAATGTTTGAGTTACATGTCCCAAACTCTAAGAGGCCAGAGATCACTGCCCTCTTCAACCTTCAAACTCACTTCAATCAATAATTACCAAACACTACTTTTGTGAGTCTGTTTTCTGATTGGTGGGCAGTAAAGGGCAAAGACACTGAATTGACCAATCAGATGATGGTAACAAGGATTTAGCTTCTGTCCCTGTGTCACATATTATAGTAAATCTACATTGACCACTTCTTTCTGAACTTTCAGGATTGTGGATTTGAAGATGTCCTCTCTTCGGGAGATTTGCAGTGGTTTGCCCCTGGACCCTTTGCCTCAAAACAGAGGACGAGATCCCAGTATTCCCCACGCACCGGTTCGGACCCCCAACCTGACAGCAGAGGAGGAACGTGTGGGTATTATTTTGGATACTTTAGTACTTTTATGTTAGTTAAGCATATTTTACATAGTATTGTTAGAATAGTGAATAATAGCATCTATCCAATCCAGTAATGTTCACTTTTGGTTGGTGAAGATTTGGTTTAGTTCTGTTCTAGTCCTGGTTTAGTCCTGGCTTAGTCCTGGTTTAGTCCTCTTTTAGCCCTGTTCTGTCCCTGGTTTACTGGTTTAGTCCTGTTATAGTTGTTGCTTTAGTTTTGATTTAGTCCTGGTTTACTCCTCTTACAGTGCTGGTTTAGCCCTGGTCTAGTCCTGGTTTAGTCATGGTTTAGTCTTGGTTTAGTCCTGGTCTAGTCCTGGTTAGTTGTGGTTTAGTCCTGGTTTAATCCTGTATAGTACTGGTTTAGTCCTGGTCTAGTCCCGGCCTGTAGTCATGCTCTAGTCCTGGTTTAGTCCTGGTTTTGTCCCAGTTTTGGTGTAGCCTATGTGCAAGTGTGAATATACTCTTAGTCAAGATTAAACCAATACCAAACGAGAATTACACAAGGAGCAAAGCCAGTACAAGAGAATAGGGCATATTTGGATACAAATGCAAGTGTAATCAGGTCATTGGCATTAAATCCAACTGAACTATGCCAAGAAATGTAGTAAGAGATTAGTACCAAATAGTGCTGTCACAATACCAACATTTCAAACTCAATTTCGATACTAAATTAGACTCAATACTCCCTAATGATTATGCTACCATAATGAATAAAAATTCAGCTAGGAATAGAATTTAATCTTCATATACAAATTAGTAGTACTTCCTTTATCTTAGCATCTTACATTTATAAATCTCCAAATCATACTAAAACTGTTCAGGAAAGCCTAGTTAAGATAATACAGAAGAAAGTACAAGAACGAAATGTACCTACTCAATCAACACAAATCTTATTTACAGTATACTGTAGTTATGAAATCAACCTGTCCAAACACTGTGGGTGGAAACTGTTATTTTTGCTAAAAAACCTTGCACATGACATTTTTTCTTTTTAAAGGTTCATGTTTTCTCCAGATCAAATTATTAAATTCTATTCACTCCTAAAGCTATGATGTCCTTTTAGGACCTAGTTTCTGTTCATATAAAATTGAAGCGTGATTTTCAGACCTGCCCTTTGTTTGATTGCATCACGACTCACTGAGGCACAAATAGATGATTGTCCAAATCCCTGAATGGATTACTCAGGGTCATTATCAAAGGCTGCTAGATACTGACTGACAACTAAAACCAGACATAAAATGTTGTTAGTGTTTTGTAAAATGGGTGGATATTTTGAGTTACTTATGTTATCTATGTAGCTGTAGTATCTTTATAAGAGAACATCTTTGACCTTCAGCTTTGGTATGAGTATAGGATAATATCATGGCGTCAATGTTTTGTTTATACATTAAGATTAGGTGTTAAAATGTGTCATATTAACAGCACAGTGTGAACAAACTATAAATAGTGTTATCTGATTGCTTCTTGTCTTTCTTAAGTTTGGGCCTTATTTCTTTCTTTAGATAATGTTTCTCAGTTGGCTCAGTTTCACAAAAAATTGTAAAACATGAAATAAACTAAAATAAACAACCTATTAAAATTTTAATTAAATAAATTAAAGACTATCCTATTATTTTTTATGTGTAGAATACTTCAGTTTCTGGTGTTGTTTTAATATTTATTATGCCTCAATTTTGCATTAATGTTAACTATGTACTAATTTTAGCATGACTCAGCAAAAAACCCATACACAATATGACTGGACGTAGTGACTTGAATTTAGTATAAAAAAAAACAACAAAATAAATTAAAACAACTGAATTCTGGGACCAGTTCAGTTCCTGTGCTCTAATTAATTTGATTTGTTTTCTCTTCAGTTGGCTCTGAAAAATGCTCTGAGGTACTTCCCCTCTTCCCATCATGCAACACTGGCCCCTGAGTTCGCCCAGGAGCTGAGGGAGTATGGACACATCTACATGTACAGGTTCTGCCCCACTCTGCGCATGAAGTAAGTGAATGCAAAATTATGCACATTTAAATTGTATGTTTATAAATACTTATCTAATACAGTATGAATCACTCAGTACATTT